AACACGAATTTTGAGGAAATATGTACTAAATTTAAGCCCCAGTCTGACAATTTTAATAACTAAAACATGGTACCATGAAGCATCTATTACATGGTATCATGATGCATCTATTAGCAATCTTAACGCATGTAATCTGTATAATTCAAGTCGAAGTTTTATTTTTATTAGAGTTGAAGTTGGAATCTACGTGATCGAAAATTTTTTTTTTCCCAAACTCAAAACGTATTTTTAATTACTAACTTAAAAATTATTGTTTCAGAACAAATTTAGAGCTTAAAACAAGTTCTCCTTTAAGATTTTTTTCCTCCATTAAGATATCTTTAAAATAAATTTCTTTCTAAGAAAAATAATTTGCGCATGTTTGACCCATTTTAAATATTTTAAAAAGTCAAAACTTCCTCTCTGCGCAGAGTCAAAATACTTTTCCGTGCCTAAATTTCCAAAAAAAATTTAACGGAGAATCGGCTCTACAACAAATTAACCACTCAGGACTGCATTCAAAGGTACTCACAAATCTGCAACAACCCATAATATCCAATTTTTGCAAATGAATATAATATACTTATAATCAAGGACAGACTTACTGTCATGTAAAAAATATAAAAAATAAAATAATAAAAAATATAAAAAATAAAAAAATGTGATTTTAGTAAAACTATTTATTTATTAGATAATGTTAGCAACCATCAAAATTGACAAAAATAATAACTTTAAAATTTAATTAAAATATTCTCTTTTCAATTTAATACTTGGTATGGCATCCTTGAGTTTTTAAACATTTAACTAAACAGGTAGGCATAGAGTAAATAAGCTTCCTTAAATATTTAGAAATCATACGTTGAATCCATTTTTACTTAATTTTCTTTATTTAATTATCAGAAGGTGAGGTTTTTAGTTTCTAGATTTTATCTTAAATAGATTTTATCTTTTTTCTAGATTTTATCTAAAATAGTTCTAGCTATTTTTAATAGGATTGAGATCAATTACCAGGCTAGGGACTAGTTCAATCCCATTCTCATGTAGAAAATACAAGCTTGGCCCTGTGACAGGGTGCTCCATCAACTTTGTGAGCTTTCGTGATCTCATGAATAGTTTTTCTTAAAGTATTCCGAGGTAAACGTGACTATTTATTGTGGTATTAGAAAAGATTAAATAAAATATAAGCCACCACTTTAATTGGCTGTAATAGAATACAAACCCATATAGTGATTTTGTGGCAATGTTTTACAGTGAAAAACAAGCTTTGGGTATTGTATCGTTGGTAACGCGGGGGTTTAAAGCTTGTAGAACAAGAACCAAATTGTTCTATTAATACTTCGTTGCCAAATATTAAATCCTCCGTATCTTCCGCTGATTAATCCTTGTATTGGACAAGGTTTAATCACTGAAACAAAGCTATCTAAATGAAATTGTTTGCACATGCGTATTTTAAATGTCATATTTATTAGCGCAACACCAGTGATGAAAACTTTGGAAGCACAGGCAAAAGGATACGTTTTTGCATAACGATGAATGCAGTTTTTATTTTCCCGTGGAGTTGTCACCTTCGTTGTCCAGTTTAACGACTAAAACAAATTTATGGTTTAAAACGTAAATTACCTATGTCTCTAATATTGCGCATGTATATAATATAAATACTTAAATTTCAAATGTAAAAAAAAAAAAATAAACTAATATTTTTAATTTTCAAATTAAAAAAAAAATACTCCGTAAGGTAGAGCGGGGCTAGTTGAGCCATTTTTACTAGATCTAACAGATCTCATGAACAGTGCGTCGGATTTACATTATTTTCCCACTATTTGAATGATAATTTAAACTGTTTAAAATTTGTTAAAAAAAAATTATACCTTTTGATTTTTTTAAAAAAGATAATGCCTAAGGTTTGCGGAGCTGCTTAACCTTCCCCAGCAGGGTAAGGTGAGCAATAGTGTTAGGTAAGTTGAGCAATCAACAAATAAATGAACATGCATGGTACAAAATTTGGGTGTATCGTCATTGGGTGTATCGTAAAACTTTCACTAGTAAGCGCGTGCTTAGTTTTTAAACTTTTTATTTTATGCGCTTTAATGACGTAAATTTGAGAAGTTTATCTTAAATATGAGAAGTTAAAATTGTATGTGTTAACATTCTAATTCCCTAACTTTCATCCATTAGATGTTTTGTCATGTGATGTGTAGTTGTTGAGATATTTTGATTGCCCAAACGTGCTTATGCTAAACAAGCCCCACTCTACCCTACTTTTAATTGTGAAACGTTATTTTACAAAAGCTAAAAATTTCTCAGTTTCCAACACAAATAGGAATGATAGTCAACTATTTTTTTTTTTATTTTTTTTTGGTTTACATTTGTTAATCGTTGTACAGCCCATAATAACAATAATGATATAAACTTACAATGGCATAAAACTTAACAAACATAAACAAGGTATCTGAAAGAAGATCGCAAGGATCTTGTCGTCAGAACCTTAAAAAAGCATTTAACAAATATAAGATAAAAAAAAAATTATAAATTTTTACTAAATTGCAAGGAAAACAATCTGTGTCTGAAGAAAGATCCAGAAGATCATCTCATCACTATGTAGACTATGGAGGCTTTAGCCACAAAGTACTTGTTTTTATCAGCATTTAATAACTGTAATATGAAATTTGTAACTTTAAAGGTGGTTTTACCCAGTAAACACACGATGTCGATGGAAAAATCACATTAAAAACTTATCAAGTAGAAGTATAGGAATATTATACAAAGCAAGAAATGTTTTAAATAAACATATTTTAGTACAATTATATCATTCATTTATTCATTGTCACATAAACTATGCAAACATTGCTTGGGGTTGTACAAATAAAAATAAACTTAAACCTCTTTATTGTCGTGCATGTAGCACGTCTTATATATTTTAAAGACCGTTATGCTCATGCCAAACCTTTATTATTTGAAATGAAAGTTTTTAATATATATGAGCTTAATATTTTTAATATTCTTTTTTTTTTATGTTGAAATGTAAAATCAATTCATCCCCGATCTCTTTCCATAATTTTTATTCATCTAAAAATAAAAAAAAATACATTTTACGCAATGATAGTTTTATTAAGTAGACCATTTTTCAAACAAATCTTTTTAAATTTTCTATTGATTGTCGCGGACCATTCTTATGGAATAAAATAGTTTAAAAAAATTTTACTTAGGATTTTATTCATCAAAGTAACTATTTTTCTTTTAAACAAAAGCTTAAAGAACTCATTTTAACAATCGAAGATTTAAAAATATACTTTCGATATTTTTTTAGTGATCTATCTTTTTAACCTCTATTTAAACATGCATTTATAAAAATTGTATATGTAATATTGTATCTTGTATTTGTAACGGAATATTTTAAGTTTCTTACTTCGTTACTTATTTTTTTATCTTGTAAATAATTTATAAATTTTTACACGAACATTTCTAAGCGGTACTCGACGACAAGACTTCTACGAGTCCTCGCGTTCTTTTATTATCTAATAACGATCATTATATATATATATATATATATATATATATATATATATATATATATATATATATATATATATATATATATATATATATATATATATATATATATATATATATATATATATAATTATTATTATTATTATTATTGCTATTATTGTTATTATTTATTTATTTGTAATTTAAAATATTGTAACAAAATACTTATTTAAAATGTAATAAAAAGAACAAAAAAAAAGAAGAAAAAAGTCTTAATGACGTCTAAAAAAACGTCTTTTAGACGTCTAGACGCCTAAAAGATGTTTTTTGACGTTTTAAAGACGTCGTGTGTTTACTGGATAATAGCTACAAAAAAATTGACAATAACCGTGATAATTGTAAAGAAAAGTAAGAATTAGTAAAGGTAAAATGCGGTAAGGGGTCCATAAATTACGTCACGCCTTAGAAAGAGGGGGTGGGAGCAGTGGCGGATTTAGTATAGGGCGAGCTGCCCCCCACGTCCCCCTAGAACGGTCTAACGGCGCCCCTAAAACAATCAAAAAAAAGAAAAAATTATAACATCAAATTACATAAGACAACTCCGGTCGCCCCTATTTATTGACTTGGCCCCCCCGCGACACTAAACTTCAATCCGCCACTGGGTGGGAGAGATGTTAGTGGTTTTATGACAATTCATACTTGTTACTAAAGTTACGGTTTTGTGACGAATGAGAGGGTTAAAAACGGTCTAAAATTGCGTGACGTAATTTATGGACGACCCCAAATGCAGAATGCGGAAATCGAAAATTTTCTGTGAGTAGTTTTCTATGCGCGGAAACTTTCTCTAACGATTTCTCAACCCAAACCTTCAGTTGATGTAGAAATACTCATTTACATGCTCTTCCTAATTCAGTAGATGTGTGTACTGAAACCTCTAAACCATATTTAATCCTGCATTTGACCTGCCGAAAATATCCGCAATCTATTTTCCACATTTCCGTATTTTACCAATACCCCCAAAGTTAATAGTTTATTGCAAAGTTAATACTTTATTGCATCCACAAAAAATTTATTTTTGCGTAAAGTTAGTATTTAAATTAAAAATAAATATATCAATAAATCAATTTCATGAAATAAAAATTATTTAATATCAGTTTTTATAATAGAACTTATATTTATTTACATTCAGGCAGCAAACTACGACTTGGTGATTATAATAAAAAAGATGTTTTTTCAGTATAGGATCATATTTACATAATTACAATGGTTCATAGACCCTTAACAGTGTGGGTTAAACCAGGCACACTTTAAAACTTTCACACTGTAAAGTATGTAGAACTTTTCTGACTAGACAAACCTTTTTTTTGAACAAACTTAAAATGAATAATAAGGTTTAAAAGATAAAACTTTTTTTTGACGAATTTTAAACGATTAAAAGTTTTATCTAGAAAAGACAGTAATGTTAAAAATAATATTAATAGTATTTTTGTTAGTTTAGTTTAGATTTAGTCTATCAACAACTTCAAAAATTTAGTCAGATGTGGGATTTGAACCCACGCCCACATTTGTGGACCAGAATGCTCCTATCGGAAGAGTTTAACTCTTGAGTCTGGCGCCTTAGACCGCTCGGCCAACCTGACATATAGAAGTTGGCATTAATTTAGTTATTTAAACTTAACAAAATTTTACACAATTTTTAGGTTTGTAAATTTTAAATAAGTTTATTTAAAATATTTTAGACTAAATTAGCATATGGTCATTATCTAAATAACTAATGTATGATAATATAGTCAAAGTTAATAAATGATATCTTTTGTTGACAGTTCACATTAAATTTTTTTACCGCCAAGTAAAAATAGCGTGAGGTTTTTACTCCATTTTATTTTTACTCTCAAGTTATCATAACCGGAAATACATATAAATAAGAAATGTATGTTTTGTTATTTTACAAGTGCCAACGCAGCATCTTACTCATACTCAATTCCTGTATAAATAAGTAATGGAGAGTTTAAGCATACACAGGCCAATGATATATTAAGAATAATTATTTTTAATATATCATTGACACAGGCGGTGCTAGCAAGTTTGCTAAAGCCCGTTCTACATTCAGAATTTTTTGCGCTTTGGAGGAAAATTCTTTGAGCATGCGCAACGGGCGGAAAACTTCAAGCGGAATTTAATAGGTCGATACTTTTTTCCAATGAGTAAATCCAGGTTAAGCGTTTTTTGTAAACTCAAGATCCGAATTTTTTAAATTTATTTACACCGTTAATACTCATTTTCTTATAATAATTTGCAATAGATAAATAATTTAATATGTTTATTATATTAAATAATTCTTTTTAATATTTCATAGCAAAATTTATTATAACTTATACACTATTAAAAACGAATTCGATATTTAAGCACTTATTATATTCGGGTAAGGATTTTATAAAAAAAGCAAAACCTTGCTTTGCTCTCTGGAAAAAAGTTTCCACCATCTTAATCTTTATTTACCGCGTGGAATTTTTAAGTGTTTTTGTTAGTTGTTAAATAAAATGGTTTTAAACAGAAGGAAGTTACTAAAAAAGAAAATAGTTTTATTGCTGATATTAAAAAAGCGTCTCTCATTAAGAAAATGTAGGAAACATTGTATGTAAATGCGAAGAATTTTTATGGAACGTTCGCAGAAAGGCCTATTAAATGTATTAGTAAAAGATTTAAAATTACTTGACATATTTTTTTCAGAGTTTTCGCATGAGTTCACAAACTTTTGAAGTATTGTTATCCTGGGTTGCTCCTTTTATATTTAAATTTTCTCTAAGACGTTCAGTTACAACTGCTGAAGAAAATTATGTATTACATTAAGATATCTTGCTTCTGACGATGCTCAGATAACAATTTCAATAAGTTTTAGATTAAGTCCTACAACTGTAGGAAGAATTATTAAAGAAACATGTCAAGTTCATTGGAATGTTTTGTGTAAAAAAGAATATTAATTAGCACCATCTTCACAACAACAATAGCTTAGAATTCTTCATACGATAGAATTTTTCTCATTGTTTAGGTGCATTAGATGGTAAAAATATAGTTATTCAGTCACCAACTCGAAGTGGTTCAACGTATTTTAACTACAAAAAAACATTTAGCGTTGTACTTTTAGCAACGTGTAATGAAAAATATAAATTCACTTTGGAATTTGCATTAAAACCGCATATGATTAGGCCCTATCCTCGAAGGAATAATCTCGATAAAATAGAAATTGTGTTTAATTATTGCTTATCAAAAGGCAGAGGGGTAATTGAGAACCATTTTCGCGTATTAGCTAGCGTGTTTCGATTATTTAGAATACCAATCATATCAAAAGTTGAAAATGTAAAACTTTTCATGAAAGCAACTGTAGCCCTGTCCAATTTTTTGATGAAGATACAAATAAAAACAGACAATTTTTCATATTTTCCAAGTGATTATGTTGATCAAGAAACACCAAATGAGAGTAAACCTGGTGATTGGAGAAAAGAAATAAATAGTTATTAAGGACTTAAACCGGTTCAATTTCTTTGGGCTCATAATTTTATAAAAAAGCTATTAGAAAAAAATTATAAAAATTACTTTAATTTGGAGATTACTTTAGTACAACTAATCCTTTTGATAAAGATATTAGAGATTTGTATACACACAATGAATGGAATATAAAATTGACATTAAATTTTTTACTTTTTCTTCATAAACGTTGTTAATATATATATATATATATATATATATATATATATATATATATATATATATATATATATATATATATATATATATATATATATATGTGTGTATATATATATGTGTATATATATACACATATATATATATATATGTGCATATATATATATGTGTGTATATATATATATATATATATATATATATATATATATATATATATATATATATATATATATATATATATATATACACACACACATATATATATATATATATATATATATATATATATATATATATATATATATATATATATATATATATATATATGTATATATATATATATATATATATATATATATATATATATATATATATATATATATATATATATATATATATATATTCGGTAACTATTACATTATTTTTATGACATTTCGGTAACTATTACAATATTTTTATGACATTGAGTAAAATATATTTTTTGATGTAAAATCATTAATCAAAGACCTCTTCTGTGTGACAACCACGGGGTTGGTTGTCACATACTATGGGGCTGGTTGTCACATTTCTCGGTATGTTTTGATTATATATAAAATTAGTACCAATAAATTTTGTTTATATAATACAAAGAAAAAATCTGAATAATCTGAAAAAAGAATGCTGTATACTGAAAAAAAGAAAATACTATATACCAAAAAATGTTTTTTTTTTTTAATATAACATTATAAACACATTTAGTTTAGGATATATAAGTGTTTTTCAAAATGGTTTTTTTATAGATTGTTGGATGAAGAACACAATTCACATGTAAATTGGTGTTAGCTTGGTGTGCATTCTTCATGAGCCCATCTTGATCTGCTGTTAGCAAATGATTCACAACAATAGATGCAAGGATACTCTTCATCTTTAAATGAATTTAAGACTATAGAATTTTTTTTTTATGGCAAAATTTGACTTTATTTATTCTTTTTTACTTCCATTCATAAATGGTTTACGATTCTTATTAATATTTTTTTACTTAGTTTTCTTCTTTTTATAATTAGCAAGCCATGCTTTAACAAGTGAGTTAGTAAGAATCATAGATGAACGCTTTTTCCTACCTCATTATGACGTTAACCTTAGACTTGCTTTAAACCTGTAATAATAAAAACAGCAGTAATAAAAGTAATAAATATTAATGACAAAAACAATAAAGTTTCTATAGAAATAGTAAAAAAAAAAAACTAAAGGAAAAACTAAAGAAAGTTAATAGTTTAAAGTTAATAGTAAAAGTTTTAGAATTTGTTTAAATTTATTTTGTTTTAAATAAAGAAATGAAGATAAATTTTGAAATTTTAATTTTTCAAGCTCATTTACAATGCACACAAGACTTTGATTCAATTCACTGATGCATTGGTGTCTAATTGAATAGTTACCATACGTCAAAGTTTTATAGGGAGGTACATTTAGTTTTCCATTATTGGTGTTTCTAGTTAAATGTGAATGTATATCGAGTCTCAGTGAAGTAGGTTGTAATAGAGGAAGGTAAATTTTTATTAAGGGAGTCAAAAACAAAAAGAAGATTAGTAAATTTAAAATACTGCTTACAAGGTAGGAATTTTAAGTTTTTTGAAGAATTTTGAAGTTTCTGTATTATGGAGTTGAAAATTAATTATTCGGATTGATTGGCGCTGAGCTGATAACAATTTATTAATATTACAGTTGCCAATTTGTCCCCAAACTTGACAACAGTAGATGAGATGAGATTAAAAAATTGAAAAAAACAGATTGTTAAGGGTAGTTTATCAACATAATGGCGTATTATTGAAAGCATGCCATTAGCTCGATTAAGTTGTTTACGGAGTGCATCTATATGAAAATTCCATGAGAGGTTCGAATCTATAAAAATTCTAAGATATTTAACAACGTGTGTTGGATATAAACGTTTATTATTAATTTTAGTTATATAATTATTGTATAAAAGTTTTTGTCTTGGAGATGAAAAAAATATTAGTTCAGTTTTTTTCAAGTTCAGAGAAATCAGGTTTGCATTTACCCAATGAACTAAACCTTTTAGGTCTAAGTTTATATTCTTACACAAGGGATGATGAGACTTATTAATATGCAAGATATTAGTATTATCAGCAAAAAGATGGAATGATGAGAAGCGGACAGAGTTATTAAGACCATTAATATAAATCAAATACAATAAAGGGCCAAGAAGAGAGCCCTGGGGAACACCACAAACTTCATGTTTGTTATTGGATTTGTAACCATTAATGCTAACAAACTGCTTTCGATTTGAAAGATAAGATTTAAACCAGTTACAAGAAACTCTTCGGATTCCGTAATGTTCAAGTTTAGAAATTAAAATGGTATGATTAACAATATCAAATGCATTTTGTAAGTTGATAAAAAACACCACCTACGAAATGACCAGTATCCAGTGCCTTTTTTATTTTTTCGGTTATACTTATTAAAGCGTGGCAAGTAGAGTGATTTGATCGAAACCCAAGCTGAAACTCATTTAAACAGTTAAAGGAATTCAAAAATGAGTATAATCTAGAGTACAATAATTTTTAAGGAGCTTGCTAATGTTAGAAAGAATTGAAATTGGTCTATAGTTAATACATGAGAGTTTTAAACCATTTCTATATACTGGAATGACACAAGATAATTTCAAAATATCAGGAAGAATTCCATTTAAGAAGGAGATATTAAATAGCTTAGAGAGAATATGAGAAAATTCAGAATTAAAATCTAAGTGATTTCAGAATGGTTTGTTGAAGATATCAGTAAACTATGAAGATTTGGATGTTTAAGATAAGTGAATATTAGAATTAAGTTTATGAGCTACATTTGTGAAAAAGTTGTTGAATTTTTTGCAGATTAGAGTAGGTTCAGTTATGTATGTTTCGTTAACTTGTAAGCAATTTGGAGGTTATTAATGACATTTTTG